AAAAAAAAAAAAAAATCACAGCATATCTAGTCCAAGTAAAAATATGTAGAATTGACCTAGCAAGTATAAATTAATCATTTAAATAATGATAATTATTATTATCATTATTTAATCCATTTAATCTACTCTTTTAATTTGCATCATTATGCCCTTGTGTGCTGATATTGATGTAAATTATTCAAATATATGATGAATGCAGACAGATGGGACAAAGAAAGTAGTTGAAGCAGCTGAGTAGCATAAAAATAGAAATAGCAATGGAAATAACATTTAAAAAAAAAGAAATAAAAATAATATATATAATAATATAAAAATAAATGAAAAACTAAAACGAAACGAAATGAAACTAACAACAGTTATTGAAAACCTAACTGAAATAAAATAATGATGATCAAAAAATGAATAATTGTTTTCATAGGCCAATCTTTCCTTTCTTTGTTCTGCGCTCCGGAAGTGTTCTGTCAATTCTGCTAAACTTTAATTACTAAAATTAATACTAAAACTAAACTATATAAAAACAAAATAGAGATGTGTTCACAAAATATAAACTAAACTAAAATGAACAAAAATTATTAATTAAACTAATAAAAAATGAAACAAAATTGAAAATGACAACAAATGAAAAAATGTAAAACTATAATAACCTTGGCACGAATGCCTTTCATTGGTGCGTGAGGAAGGGGATCCGCCAAATGAGGTGGTGGATCTGGATCCGGCTTATTCCGCCATAAATTAAGCCCTGGAGTTGCCTCAGTGCAGGCTTGGTAGAAGTGAGGATTGAGGGCGCAAAATGGGTGAGGACGTACCCTTCTGAAACCTGTAATCACAATGGGATACCCTAAAGTTTGCAAGACTACAAGTGCTCATACGACAAGGCCAAGAACAGTCACTTGTTTAGTTCCTGATTGAATGAATTGGCTGAATGAATAATTCAATGACTCACTCAAAAGTCAGTCATGTGCTGCCACCTGCTGGTATAATGAAGTAACCTGCTGACAACACAGACAATTGGAGTGATACAAATAAACAATAAGTTAAAGAGGCCTTGACTTATTCACAATACACTTTTATAAAATGGCCACCACACAATACAAATATTATAAACCAAAACAGTTTTGATGCTGGTTGCAGTTTTGACACAGTTTTGAAGGCTGGTTGCTAAGTATGTTGTGCAGTGATACACAGAACCATTGGGTGAAACGTTGTTATTGTGAAAAAAACACAGCTGTTTTCAACCAATCAGAATCAAGGACTGGAACTAAACGTTTTAGAAACAGTGATACGTCTGCTGCAGGGGACCTCTGTTGGAACGCCTCTCATTCAGTTAGACTCAAGCACCAGAACTGTATAAAATGTAATAACTCTATAGGGAAGACAAAAGGAGCAGAAAGTTCTAAAATAGTTACAAACTTTTAATATATCACATTTCCATCCATTTAGCTTTCAAAAAAGCTTTTTGTACAACATAATATTACTTTCTATTCTGTTGTGTTTTAGTAGTTCACATGAGAATTTCTGCTTGTACCACAGCTGGAAGTACTTCATCCTGTGCTGATGATATCAAAGCACTTTGAGAGAATATATGCCTTGCACTTAACAAGAGACCTCTAAACCTCTAATGTACCTGAGTATAGAGGCTACAGCATATACCAGGAAGAGAAAGCATATGTAAGAGGCCTCAGTTCCAGCAGCTTGGAAGCGTCGCTGTGTGACGCCTCAGTTAATCAGTGCACTGGTGGGATTTTCCTCATGGTGGTTCATAAATGGCATGGAGGGAAGTTTATTACACTACCATGAAGAATGCGGCTGGGTTTCTACAGTTAGCCATAGCATCTTTCACGCAGAGCCCACAAACACGATAAGCGTCATTTACGGTGTGTCATGTCCCTATTATTTTATTTATTATTTTTTTTGCCATAGCCGATTTTGTCCCCATCACTTTATGAAATAGCGCACAGCAGGGATTTATCTAATACAGAGGAAGCATATCCAGTTATTGAGCAGGAGTCTTCATTTCATTCATGTGTGTTAATGATTGACAATACAGTGGTAGAATTTTATTATTATTTTTTTTTTATCAGTCATGGAAAATCTCTCCAGCACACAGCTTTCATAGCTGTGCAATACAGTCTATAGCTTTGTCAAACATTGTGACTTAAAATCTTTGTTTTGTGTAAATGCAATTTTTATTTCACAGCATGCCTTTGTATCTCGTAATTGCAACTTTTTTTTTTCTCATAAATGCGACTCCTGTTCTCATAACTTGTTTATGTTTATGAACAAGTTTATTTCTCAGAGCTTGTGACTTCTTGTTATTGTGATTTCCCCTCTGTAATATTCTAAACACAGTACATTTAATAAGTAGTATGGCTGCACCCTGGTGAAAAATAAATATTAAAAAAATGCATTTGAAATACACTTATTTCATACTAAGTATACTACAAATAAATTTACATATTTATGTGCTTAATAAAAATACTCTGCAATTGTACTTTTAGTATACTGAACTGGTATTGTAAAGTCTGGTAAATTGGAACTATTAAATTAGGCCACAGGAGAGGAGATATGAATGGCAGTAAAGCAACGCAAATTACACTATAATTTACATGACAACATGGCATGTGTGGATTTAATTCATAATATGTCGAATGTATTTAAGTAAGTTCTCCAGCAAATGTAGTAGTAGACATTATGCAATTTTGGAAGCATCTTCTGTCTTGAAATTGTGACTACCTCTCAAAGTGCCTTTGTTGCTCATAATTTTCACTTTATATCTCACAATTGTGAGTTTATATCTACAAACAGAGTGGGGTAAATTACTTACAAATGGTAGTCCATTACGGATTATTAATATAATCTAGGTTACTTATTTTAGGTAATGTATTCAGACTACTTTTTGGATTACCTTTAGATTACTTTTTTATGTAACTTGTTTTAAACTTACCATTAAACGTACCATATTGATATACAATAAAAAGCAAAGCGAAAGAAAATATATTCTATTTTTGTTTTGTTTTCAACATCATACAATGCATTAAACATTACACCAGGGTTTCCCAAACTGGGTTTAATGTAAGAACTGCAGTGGGTTTGTGAGTTGATAAAAAGCTAATTAAGTACATCATAAAAATGTAAAATTATTTAAACACTTAAACTAAAATATTTGATTTGTTATGTGACCATATTGTGACCATTTACTGACGGCAGAGAACTGTGAAATGTGTTGTTAAATTATTGAAATATTCACTTCCTCGTGGATATTTCAAGTAAATATTTCATGTCAAAAGGATTTGACTGACAAAAACGTTTGGGAATCCTTGCATTACATGAACAAACATTTAATACACATGAAAACAGCAATGACATTACGCTCCCAAAGTATTCCAGGTTTGACATTTTTTTTGTCAGTTATTGAAGGTCACTGGATATGATGATGACACAGTATTTCACAGATTTACATCACCAGTGTTTTGTAACTTACATAATTATTTGTTTTATACATGGTCTATACATTGCTTGAGAGGTGATTTTTTTCCACCCAAATTCAGAAGCATGGATCTCAAATTTATTTACATGACATTTACATGATCATTCTATATTGTGAATATAGTCAAAGCTAAATGTATGAGAGACAGTAGGATATTTAGAACACAAAATTTAAAAGAAAAAGAAGAATTAAGGAGAACCAATAAATTATGAATGATTTACTGCCATTGTGTGCATTGTATGTAATCATGCTATCCATAAAAATGAACTGTAATCTGATTACGACCATAATAAATTGTAATATACTCCAATTGCGAGTACTTGATTTTGGTAATCTGATTACGTAATCCAGATTAAATGCAACCTTACTGCCCAGCTTTGTCTACCAATGTGACTTTTTCTATCAATGTAACTTTATTTTGAACTTGATTACCATTTAAATTTTTTTTTTTTTTACTGTGAGATAGAAGCATGATGCAAGACAATCAGCTGAGTTTCTTCTGAAAGTAGTCTTTCATAATAGGCCTGTTGTGATTTCTTACAGCTCCACAGCTTTGCTGTCAAGTTACATGGCTAGAAGTTTTGAACCAACACATTATATAATTCTGAATTTGTGGTTTAAAGAGCAATTTACTGCTGTTTGGCACTTGAAATTAATTTGACCCTGAATTTATCATTTTGCAATCACTTCAAAAAAACAAACAAAAAAAACACTGACCATACACTGTAATATTTCTCTGCACCCTTACAAAATAAAAATCACATGGCTGATCACATATTTCTTTACATTAAATATTTTAGGCACAGTCGGCAAATGCTTTGCTATTCATAGGTCTATTACAGACCATTTCCCATCGCTGATCCTCTATCATTTTATTTCTCGTCCGAACCCCAGTGCCAGGAAACTGAAACATATTTTTAAAGTGCTTTTACAAGACTACCAGACTAATCTCTCAAAAGCATGAAAATCAATGCCCTCCTCGGCCTCCCTCTGCAGGAATTATGCACAGTCTCACACTTTGCTTGCTGAGTGCAGTGGACTGATCTAATACTCCTTGACCTGCTAATGTTAGAGCAGCAAAAGTTCAAGGCTTTGCCAACTGGCATTAAATATGTGTTCAGGAGAAATGGAGGAAATTTTCATCATGGTGACACCATCAGCTCATGATTTTGTCCGATACTAGAGTTACAGTCTGCGAGCATATGCATAACGGCTGTCTTTGTGAGAAACCTTGCAGTATAGTGTAGAACAGATAATGCAATTGCAGCTATAAACTACGTGGGCGACCATGTATAATTTTTTTATTTATCCAAATTCATCTAAACTCTCAGGTGACAGCTGGAACTCAAGAACATGCTCACAGCAATCACCGGTCCCCAGATAAAGCAGAGGAGGCAGCATTATGAAATGGAATAAAGTGCTTAGAATTCTCTCTTTCATTATGTATTTAATCTGTAAGACCAGCAAGAGACCAGAAATAAGTATGTTTTATGAACCTCTACTTTCAATGCGTATCACTACGACTATGCATTTCCCTTCATTGTTTTGGGGTTCCTTCATTGTTTGCAATGGGGTATTTTTAAAATTAAAATACTTAAATTGGATTGTATTTGGGTGACAGGGTTTGTAACGAATCCGGTCTGTGGACTTCCGTCCGATTGCCATCAGAGGTCACCCTTCCATTATATTGACACTCACACTACACAGACTGTTTCACGTTACCTTGGACTACATTTCCCATCTGTCATTTCACTAATCACACGCTCACCTGAAACCAATCACATACACTACATAAGCCACACTCAAACCATTACAGACTGCCGAGTATTGTAAGCGCATATCGCTACCCTAGCTGATACCTACTTTACGGAGCCTTCTCTTGTTTACCTAGTCATTGTCATAGTCTTGCCTTGCCTGCTTTCCTGTGTTCGGATTCTTGCCTGAGTATTTTGGATTACCCTTTCGTCTTGTCTTTTGGATTATGTTTGCACCTTGCCTGGACTATTGCTCGTGTTCCTCGGATTACCCCTCTTGTCAAGCCCTCTGGATTACATTCGCCATTGATCGACCCACGCCTGTTTAACGGATTACTCTTGTGTCTTGCCCTAACCTTGCCTGTTTCTGACCATGTCTTCTAATAAAGCTTTGCAAATGGATTGTGTCCGCTGAACTGTCAACTTGTCCAGTATCCCAGAGTTTGTTTGATTTCCCTGTCTGTCCAGTTCCAATCAAGGAACCTGTTATCTGCCCCATCTGT